TAAATATAATTATAAAATATATAATAAAAAGCTTCTAGCTATTATTTATACTTTTAAAAAATAAAAGCTAGAGCTTACTAGTATTATTAAGTATATTAATATTCTTATAAACTATTATAAGTTAGAGTATTTCTATATAAAATAAACTCTTAATTATTATTAAACTTAGTAAACTAAGTACTTTAAAAAGTTTAACTTTTATATTATCTACTAGCTAGATAAGTAGAGTACTAAACCTAATAGCTTTACCTATTATACTAGTAACTTACTAAATAAGATTACTAATAACTAAGTTTAGTACTAATATTAGATAATTCTAGGTAAGAATTAATAGAATAATAGCTATTACTCTAAGAATAGAGGTAGCTATACTACTATATAACTAGCTACTATATACCTTAGTAATAGCGTATATAACCTAGGCTCTCTTCTTATAGTAATATAAAAAATAGATAAAGGCGCTACTATTTCTATAGCTATCTTATTAATAGAGATAGTCTACTTCTTTCTTAAGAGTAGTTATAACCTATATAATAATCTTATAAATACTAATAACTATCTACTTAATAATATTATTTATAAACTATATTTTAGTAACTTTTACTTTACTAATATTAAGGCTACTCTAGCTACTAATAATTATTATATACTATATTATTTTATTACTAAAAGTATTTATATAAAGCTTTCTAACTTAGAGACTAGTAATAATAGTAAGCTCTTTATTAGTAATAAAAAACTTATTACTTTTTATAGTAAGAAGCTATATATACGTATTATTAAGCACTTTTATAATAGTCTACTTAGAGATTATAGTAAATATACTACTACTTACTAATAAGTTAGCTAGTAGTATTACTAGTAAGGTATAATAAATACTATTATATAGTTTACTAATAACTACGCTATATATAAATACTTTAAAGTTAATTATACTATAAAGTATAGACTCTTATACTTACTCTTTATACTAATATAGTATTAGAATAATATTTTTATAAACTTTATTATACCTTTTCTCTTTTCTATATAGTATAGCTATTTATTTTATTATATTATAGTAGTTATAGACTAGCTATCTAAAATAAAGAAGTTTATTATAATAAAGAACTTAGAGGTTTTTATAGTAGTAAATAAGTTTATAAAGTATATTTAGAAGTATAAGAAATACTCTAGAACTATTATATCTAACTATAGTAAGTAATTTACTTTATACTTTTAAAACTAGCTTTATAATAAAGTTAGTACTTATTTTAAGCTATCTACTACTTACTACTTAAAAATAAATAGCTAGACTAAAAATACTAATACTAATTTAAAGTAGTATCTATATATATATATTAACTACTTATAAAATAACTAGGCGTAGCTATTACTATTAGTAGAATTTAAAGCTAACTTAGCTATAAGCGCTACTATAAGCTTATTTCTATTTCTTACTATAAAGAGTTAGTAGCTAAGATCTAGGCTAGAGCCTATATACTAGCTCTAGCTTCTTTTAAATACTAATACTATATCTACTATTATATAATAATAGCGTAACGCTAACACTTTTACTAACTATATTAATATAATATATACTTTTCTATAATAGTAGATACTATAAATATAAAATAAGATAAAGAAATTTATAGATATAAATAAGTATTCTACTTTATAGTTTACTATAAGTAAGTAAATAATACTAAATATACGCTATATTAAGATAGAGTAACTAGTTAAGTTATTAAACTATAAAAATATAGACTTTTACTAAGTTACTTATATTATTAATAATATATATAGAATACTATAAGCTTTTATAGTATAAAGTAGTATAAGTTAGTAATAATTAATCTAACTTTTAGTAGCTTTATATAAATCTTTATAGCTATAAAACTTTATTTAAAATTTTTATAACTATAACTTTTTCTATCTAGAACTATATATTATATTTTATAACTATAATAATAATAAAGACCTTATAGTTACTTTACTCTAACTATTAGACTTTATATACTTAAGAAGAACTAGCTAGTTATTTAATAATTATCTTAGCTATAAAGCTCTTAAGGCCTACTAAGTTACTAATTCTAATATACGTCTTTATTTAACTTTAGCTTTTATAGTTAATAGTAGTCTATAGAGTTACTATCTACTAGTCTTAGCTAGTATAGCGTTCTTTATAGTACTTTAGTAGAATTATAGATTATCTTATAATATAACTAGTAGTATAAATAAAGTAACTAGAGTTACTAGAAGTAATAACGTTACTAATATACGTTAATAATAGTTTATTTATTTTAGAGTATTTTTATTAAAAGGCTCTCTTACTTTTTATATACCTTACTATTACTACTTAGTTAGAACTTTAAGTACTTTTAGAAAGAGATGTATAATAGTTCTAGATCTAAAGCTTTATTAGTCTAATATTAAGCTAATACCTTTACTATATATATTTACTTTTAATAGCTTCTCTTTAAAGCTCTTAACTATAATAATATTATTATTTTATATACTTCTATTATTAATATATATAAGACTTTTATAGATAGCGCGTAAAGTAGATATATAAATATAAGTATAAGTAGATATATAAGTAAGTGTATAAGTATATTATAAAGATACTAGCTAGATAGCTATCTAAAGTAGTAGACGCTTAAGGCGCTATATAGTTTTAGTAGACTTAAGAGCTCTAGAGCTACGTTAAGTAGGCGTATATAAGTAGGTTATTTTAACTTAGACTAGAGAGTCTAGGTTAAGAGCTCTAAGCTAGTTAACTTATTAAAATTTTTAAGTTAGTAGCTTTATTAGTAATTAGATAGAATAAAATTTAATTTCTACAAAGTGTAATACAAACTAGGGCTTAAGGCCGCCCTTACTATTACACAAGTGTTTTAAGGCAAGCTATCTGGCTTAGCGCAACAGATGAGGCAGGTGAAAACGAGTAAGCTCGCCTATTTTGGTGGCGGATTGTATCACGTCAGACGGAGTTCTATACTCTTCGAGGAAATGGAGGTGTTGCTCATGTTTCCGCGGCGTGGCATGTGGTACGGGCCGACGCGGGACGCCAATGGGGAACCAGGAACGCCTACCGGTACCCGGGGTGGTCGTGGGGGTGGAGCAAGGAACTTTGATTGTGTACGTTGGGGGTTTGGATTCCGGTAATGGCGGTTTGTCAATTCCGTGTCAAGGAAAACGCGCATAGTCGGGGCTAATTCAGGAACGACGCCTGCAGCTATCATACATACCGGATGTGCTGTGTTGTCCAGTGTCTCGGTGACAAAGTGCGGCGAGGGAAGCGTGGCCGCACCGCAAGGAATGTGGCTACTAGCGGATCTCCGCGATTGTATGCTTTGCTGAATCTCATTGCTGCTGTCGCAGTCACCAGAGATCTTCGTTACTGAATTTGATGTTCGAAAGGGTCTGTACTTGATCCGACCGCTGCTGGTATCCGATTTCGGGTTCCTAGGAGGGACTACACGATCGCATACTCCCTGCCACCCTCCGCGGCGAAGTCTACCCAGACCGCATCCACGCTATAATTATATGGCTTCTCCAAGATTTGATCGCCATATCCGCGCACGTGGGCGATATTGATCATCTCGTGTGAGTGAGTCCCTGGTATTGGTGCCAGAATGAAGGGGACTTCCGTCCCAAATAAACAAACCAGAATGGAGCCAACAGGTATTGATTTGCGATGAACATGCCATGAGAGGCCGAGGCGTCCGTCTTCAGTAACGAAGATATAACGGTTCCTAGTTACTTCATCTGGAAGACGGAATGTATGCCTACTTCCAGACAAGAGGCTCGCGAAGTGATCATAATCCTCGTCTTCGATCATTCCTCTTCCGTTCGTGCCATCTCCCATTATGAGCGTGCGTAGAAGCGTACGCGATTTGATGCCCCTCGGCTGTAAGAACTCGTGGTAGAAGTCGTATAATTCTTTGTCCCGTATCCGATCTTCGATGCCGAACTCCTTTGAATCCGATGAAAGGGCTTGAGCTCCACAGATAGAGTCAACGTGCCTGCCATATGCATAAAGCGTCAGGCCATCCGATGATTTATCTATCGAACCTCGCCGCCTCTCCTGTTCATCGGGACACAGTTCTGTATTGAGAATCTCGTCAAAGAATTTCATCGAGTTAGGTGATGTAAAATCTATTACCCAGGACGGGTAAGAAGGGTGATTTCGGTCAGGTACTCCCAGAGGTGACGGTTCGTCGACAAAATATGGAAATGCAGACTCTTCTAAGATCGAGATGACAGTAGCTTCAGCAAGTACATACGGTAGACTTTTCGAGTAATCGGCCGAGATAGGTTTGATAACTTGGAAGTCGCATATTCCTAGGATTCCGTAGATCTTGTCGCGCAGGTCTGTGGCTAGAGCGTGATCTGATGCGATTAGGCACCAATACAAGCCCCGATGGCTGAGAGATCTTGATTTAATTTCTTCCAATGAGCGCATTCGCCCCCAGCCTGCATGAAACTGGTCTTGAAGATCCAAAAGCAGATTGTACCAATCTGAGCCGAGTATCTTGTCGACGGTGTTCATAAGACTTGACCACGTGACAATCGACCTACCAACCAGAACCATAGGATCCGATTTTGCTAATGCTATTTCTTGGATGATCCAGAGGCGACTAAACCAAGGGAGCGACATGATGTCGACAAAGTGCTGCAACATCTGGTATGACATCCTGGTGCAAGATTCCCTGCACACATGGTATGGCATCGTGGTGCAATCCTCCAACATCTCTTCTCGTAGGATGGTCAGCCAGAGCGCTTGGCAGTCATCTGGAAGTAAACAACCCGCATTATTCGGCCACTCGCCAAGCCATATTACAACGCTCTTCGCAGACCGATAAATCTTAGCCATATGCTGAACCTGATGAGACCTCTCCTGTATGTCTCGCTGATTTATGCACAGAGCGTCGATCCAGAGCATACGTCTTTTGTCGCAGAACCGAAGACGCCGCAGCCCCTGGTCGAGGCTTTCCGTGATGGGCAACTCGAACTCATCAACCAGTGCTGTACAAGGGCTAATCGCTGTCCCCCACGCATACGAGAGAGCTTCATATTCGAATTGGCAGTAGAAGGCAGGCTCGTACCGATGCTCATCGTCTGATTTCTCCTGATCTGAATATACCAGGTCGAACTCGTTCTCGTCTGGTTCTTCGAATGGTTCCTCGTCTGGCTCCCCGTCTGGTTCCTCGTCTGGTTCCTCGTCTGGTTCCTCCTCATCTGTTGCCCGCTGTTCTAGCTTGACGGTGTGTAGGCACAGGCTAATCAAATCATCGTATCCACCTGGCAATAACTCGACCAAGCGAATCTCTCCAGCATCTGAATCGATAGGCTGATATGGCGATCTCTCTGAACCCGTTGTAAGTGGTGCTTGGAGGGCTTCCATTGAGCATGACCAATGGTGCGAAGCGGTAGCTTCAAGCGTTCGAATACTCCGTGTCGCGATTGACCAACGATCGTTTTGATATGTTTTCGGTACGGTTAATGCATGTGAGTACAGTTGCTGGGGAGATGTTGGTGCAATGAAAAGTTTGGTAAGAGAAGTGAGATTCGAGGAAGCGAAGCGGGGAAGGAGCGATTGGATAGGTTTAGGCAGCCACACGAGGCTGATGACTAAGTCCAGCCAACACGCATCTTCGGTGAACGAAGGAAAAGCTCTACTCCTCAGCAGCAATGATGTCTATCTCGAGGCTGATTTGTTGAAATAGAGTAAACATAACCCATATACCAATCCAATAATTCTCAAGCGGGCAGCAAGAAACAACTTGTGTAGTTGGATAAAGGTACAACCTGTGCGCCCATAATCCATAATATGTACATAACGAAATTCTTCGGGCACATTCAGCCTATGCACCATGCGTCTTTCTCCCTTCCCCTCAGCTTCCAGCGCGTGATCACTAACCACAACCCGCAAGACCCGCTCACTGCAACAAAGAAAAGCCAGTACCCTGACCCGCAGCCTCCATCAGCGCACGAGTGAACTTAGTACGCTCGCTAGTCTGCATAACAGTTGGGCGGCGAGTCCAGCCAATCTCAGTAGGCATACGCTCGTTTCCTGCATCGAATGCGTTAGCCACTACTGTCCATTCATCCTCTCAAAAGATAAAGGTTGAAACTTACGCAGCCAGTACTCAATAAAGTCCTTCCTAACAGTGCTCGTAGTACCATCCGCCATAATCTCAAAGAACGAAGCGCATTCACCCCAACTAAACCCATCCGCCAACAACGAAGCCTTGTGCTCCGGGTTAGTCTTCTTAGAGGTTGCAAGTCGTGCCATGCGAGCATCGGCGAGCTGCTGAACGGTAATCTCTGGTGTCGTGAAGAAGGACGCTGTCTCCGCCCAGACGGTCTCGTTGAAGGGGAGGGGGTTGGCGAAGAAGCGGTCAGAGCGACTCAGGCTGAAGTCGTGCTCTAGTACGCCCTCGCGGCCCAAAGTGTCGAGGTCGAATGTACGGGCGAACGGCTCTGGGTTCGTGCGTACGGCTTGCGAGAAGAGGATGATGGCGTCGCTTTTGGCGATGTTGAAGCCTTCGAGCATGGCGTCGGCGAGGATGTCGCGGGTGATTCTTCGTCCGTCGTGCGGCAAGTAGCCGTGGTTGGCAAGGGTGTTCATGCCGGGGCATGGACCGCGTGCTGTTGAGTCACTGATTAGTGTGATGCTCCTATCACGGCCAGACATGTCTGTTTAGATGTTGTAACTAACCATCGGTAGGACCTGGAGCTGTCCAGTTCCTGGGCACCCAGGCCTGGCGGGCAACATAGGTAGGGAAAGCCGAGGCTGACGCAAAGATAGCGAGAAAGCTGATAGTAGATGGGACCTTCATGGTGGTTCTAAATGAGAGAACGGGCAGAGTAATGATGGGAATGGATCTCAAAAATGAATGTTAACGAAAGGATGTGAAGGTACGACTGTCAATGAGTGATTCGCTTGAAGTGATCTCTGCTGGTGTCTATAAACTCTTTGAGCATTCAGATTATATATCGACCTGCTTCGAGTGACAGCTACACATCGTTGTCAGGCGTGAAACTCGTCAATGGCATCGCCAGCCCTCGGCCCCAACATCTAAAGGACGTTGCACCACGCCATTTGGGGTGCCTCGGCTCGCAAAGTCGACGAAGAGATGCGATACGTGAACTTTTTGGCGATTCTCTGGGATGTGCTTGATGGATTCGTGATGGGGAGAGGTAAAAGAAACACTCGAGGACTTGGCGGTTCGGAATAAACAACCGACAAGCCACAACTCATTTCGCGTCCGTTACAACGATCTCGGCGTACGTAGGGAAGTGGATCGCATCCTATCACATCGCGATGCGCCGGTAACGTTCCTCGGTTCGAAAGGACAGACCCATAAGTATTGGGATGGGAAAAGACGTATGGGATTCTTCCCAGTCGGTCATCTTCTAGGGAGAGTGGACATGGCAGTGCGCAGCGTCCAAAACTCTTATTACCATACAACAAAAGCCTTGGAAGTGGTAAGAAATACCGGGTTTGACAAGTTCAACAGATTCTATCGCAACGCAGGCTTTAGAAAAGGCGGTTCAGATTGCAAATCGCCGCGATGATCCACCTAGTTGTAGTTGACAATCGTGAGATGGCTAGCATGATCAGGGTGCTCTCTACCAGGTCAGCTGACGATGGCTCTGAACAAACAACAGTTAGGCCGACCATGACATTTGCGGTAGACCGTCCTGAATATTACCAGCTGATCGGTCGTGTTTCTCTCGATCTGAGGGTCGCGATTTCACCTCAGACTGGCACGAAACACCATCCCCACAAATTTAGGCCTCGGCAGTTTCGAGACATACCACATCCTCCGATGCTTTTTATCCAGTCCGATGGAGGTCATAATGTGTTTGGCAATGGACGTCATGTTCGCGTCGGGCACATCCATCGTTCAGGATTGACATCAAGTTGGACAAAACGATGAGATCGAAGGGTGTATACCGCGGTACGGGCAGCACGATCTTGAACGAACAAAAGTAAGTCTAGCATCACTGTAAGCACTTCTTTGCGCGTGTGGAGAAGTTCCAGGGCCGTGTGTATTCGAGGTGCACCCAGCCATCCGGAAACGCTGTATCGCAACGAAAACTCCTGAGTGGTATTCAAACAATGTTATACAGGCTGTCGGCGGTTGTCCGAGAAATCGGCCGTGTCGACAAGTGGACGTGTTTATCTCGAATGCGTAACGTTTAGTCTTGCGAGGGTTTCGATGGTTCCGGCTGCGCGGCCAGGCGGTTGTCGCCCTTGGGCTTAGATTCGGCGTGGAATTGTGCGGATCTGGGTGTGGTGCTGCCGTCGTCCCAGAATTCAACATCGCCTTCTGCGCTTAAGGAACCCCTCTTGACTAGGCTGCCTTTCTCCCGCATGAGGTCCTCGATCGTGACGGACTTGTCTGAGAATACCTGGGAACTATTAGCCTCCAGCCAAGCCAACTATCCATGGGTCATACCTTGAGGTGGTCTGCAATGAGATGCCGATTCTTGCAGCCCGGACATTGGATCAAGACAGTCCCATGATGATAGCCTTGCTTCGACAGTCGATGTGAAGAGCGTGTCTTGCAGACGTTGCAGGTAAATGTGAGTTCGTATGACGGGACTTGTTCGCGCTCTAGTCGTGAGTCTGGCGCATCTGTTGACGTGGGAGGAGCCGCGCTTGACTCAAAGCGGACAGTAGAAGGTAACCGCGCACGTGATAGTATGAGTGATGGTCGTATTGCAGCTGACGTTCGCGGTGTGTGGAAGAGGCGCTTTGCAGGCGCTGGAATGCGCTCGGCATGGGGGATTCGTGCAGTTCGGGGCGCAGTGCTTCGGGCGATGCCGCGCAACAAAGAGGTGGAGGAGCGCATGACGATATGACACAAACTGACACGACTCAAAGATGGTGAAAGAATGAGTTGGCGACTGTGAAACGGCGTGTGAGGTATGACGAACGGAAGTGCAGCGGGCAAAGAATAATTGACCGAGCGCCAAGCCATGACGACGGCGAGCTCTCGTGCAGCGGGGACCCTCGCCCGCAACACGCCCGGCACCTGAACTTCACCATCACTCGCGTCTGCCGCCACGCGTGCCATTCCTTCACTGTCACCCTCGCCGTGCTGCGTACTAGCCTCCAAATGTTCCTTTGAACCATCGGCCTCTTCCTTACACCCACGCCACACCGGGCATCTGCACCGCCAGCCTACCTCCGCCTGCGACCGCACCGAGCTTCGAAGCTCTGAATATCACACGATCAGAAGAAGGCAGGAGCGAAGATGATCGCAGGACGAGGAAGACAGCGGATACGGCCGCCAAGGAGGGTACGTACTGCGCGCTCACTTTCACCTTCACTTTCTCTTTCCTCGCGTGCTAGCCTACGCCGCTCAACCTCGCTGTCACAAAAAAAGACTCCATGCTGTAGACTCAACACTAACAATGGCGCGTTCGCAGGGTCTGCACGGCGACGAAGTAGATTTCGAGAACACGTGGGCCACCATCGAGGCGGCCTTTAGGGAGATCCACACAAAGAATGCGTCCAAGCTGTCGTACGAGGAACTTTACCGCCACGCATACCGAATCGTTCTGAAGAAGAAAGGCGAGGCTCTCTACGAGAAAGTTCACGAATTCGAGCGAAATTGGTTGAGCACCGAGGTTCGAGCCTCAATCTCGCAATTGCTCTCAACGAACCTACTTGTAGACGCGCAGAGTATCGGCGGAACTACACCAAATGAGCGACGTGTAGCGGGCGAGAGGTTTCTGAAAGGGCTGAAGCAGGCATGGAGCGATCACCAGATCTGCACCAGCATGCTGGCAGACGTGCTCATGTACATGGTAAGATGGTATCTGGACGGACTGAGCTGAGGATGTTAGCTAACACGGCCTGCTTAGGACCGTGTCTACTGTGCTGACCATCGCCGCCCATCAATTTACAACGCCGCCATGGTTCTGTTCCGCGACGAAATCCTCAATTCCAAGATATCCCCGACCGACGCTCGAGCGATCCTCAACCTCTTGAACAACATCATCCTCGACCAGATACAGATGGAGCGTGACGGCGACGTCATCGACAAGCAGCTTATCAAGTCTTGCGTGTATATGCTCGAGGGCCTACACGAGGGCGAGATAGAGGCGGAGGACCAGCGCTTGTACAACACGTCTTTTGAGGTGGAGTATCTGGACACGAGCAGAGCCTTTTACCGCGAAGAATCGGAGCTCTTACTACGCGACGCGCATGCCGGCGCATACTGCAAACACGCGCGACGCAGAATTTACGAAGAGGACGAGCGCTGCAAGCAAACACTTCTGGACACTACGGGACCCAAGATTCAGAAAGTCGTAGAGGAAGAGATGATCAAGTTCCGGATACACGAGCTTGTAGAAATGGAGAGCGGTGTACGCTTCATGATCGAC